ACCAGTTTTCGGGAACAAAGGCACAATCTTATTGAATTGTTATGTTCCTGAAAATTGGTTGTTGTCCCTGAAAATTGGTTGTTGTTCCTGAAAACTGGTCCATGTCCCGACAACTTGGATATGGTTTTTAAATTTAAATGGTGCTCCGCTAATTTGGAGAGTGTTTCCGTAATTTGGGCCATGCAAATATGATTTAGATTGTACATCATTAAGTTAGCCATGCATAGATTATTTAGCTGGTACGTCATTAAGTTCGGTCATGAATTTATGATTTAGATTGTGTTTTGTAAAATTCAATGCTAATTGAAGTTTACTGGTATAATAAGGTAGATTAAGTCGTAGAATTGATTTTTTCGCTCTTAAGTGATTCTCAGTGAACATGTATACAATAACAGCAACTTAGATGATTTGTATTCATAAAGTATTACCTAAGTTTACAGCAGACACATGTATAGATTGTCTTCCTGCTAAGAATCCATTGTGATATATGATACAGGCGAGGCTGAGGGTTTGTACCTACATATCGACGCGGCCTATGCCGGAACAGCATTTATATGTCCGGAATACCGGAAGTTCATGACTGGGATTGAGTATGCGCACTCTATTGCATTTAATCCGTCAAAATGGTTGATGGTACATTTTGACTGTACAGCTATGTGGTAGGTATTTCAGGTTACGTTTGTTTCTCTCGTACCCTTTCCTTCGGCTTCTATAATGTTGTCATGTCTCCCTATGCGTACAACCCGTTCACATATTGACCCCTACTTTCTTCCTCGCTCCAAACACATGTCCGGTGTGTTAACACATATGTTTGCTGGGGAAAGCTTTCGCTTTCAATATATATTGTATCGACACAACTGTGTTGTCCTTAGGCAGGTTTGGTCTCTGTTTCCTCCCAAAACATCTGCTATTTGGAGGTTTCCATATTATTGAAACTATACAGCAATCTTTTGGTTTTTATCATTTATGGAGTAGTTTTTTCAATATGAAGGTCAGCTTTATTTACTCGAAGTTAGCTTTCCGCCCTCAATGCCAAATATTTCAAACATAAACATGTTCACGTCATCAAGGTGTGACGTTAACGACTCGACAGTGCTATTAACAGAGTTGCGTATGATACTGTTTTTCAAATGGTTAGTACCTAATAATGAGGATTGTTTTATTTTGGTATCTGTTCCTGTTTAATAAGAAAATAATGTTAATAGTTGTGTTTGGTATTAACATCTGCTTTGAAAATGCTTAATGAGAGCCGTTGTGCTTATTGTATTTATAGATGAAGTGTTTGCTAACTATTTAATTATATAGTATTGTATTTGTTGAATCAATGTATAGTATTATATTTGTTGAATCGGTATATAGTATTGTATTTGTTGAATATGTATATAGTATTGCATTTGTTGAATCGGTATATAGTATTGTATTTGTTGAATAGGTATATAGTATTGTATTTTGTGAGGTATATAACTATATTAATTGTGTTATATAACCACCTTTGTGAGGTATATAACTATATTAATTGTGTTATATAACCACCTCCTTTGTGAGGTCTATAACTATATTAATTGTGTTCTATAACTACTTGTATATAGCTATAACACTGTGTTTGCTGTTGTCTAGGGTGAAGAACAGCGGATCCCTACATCGTACCTTCAATGTGGACCCGCTCTACCTTAAACACGAGAACAGTGGTAAGGACCCTTTATTTATAACGAGTTAATGTATAGCGGTTATTGCATCTGAAATAGAAACCTAGCATTTTTCTACTGCAGGATTTCTCTGACTTCAACTACCTTATTGATTGAAACATATTTTCACTGAATTGATTGATTAATATTTATTATTGATCAAAGATGATTTCAACATTATTGACACACATTTTAACTGAAGTTTCTTCATTGATTAATAATTATCAAGCGATTAAAGATAATTTCACATTATAATTTGCTACGTATGAATGACTGATGTAATAACCTCAACTCGTTCCCCCGATGTTTTGACAATGTTTCGACGTTCTGACAGATATGATGATCCGTATATATACTACAAACGTCGATACAAGTTGACGTCTTTTAAAAAACCTAGTAGTGTTAGTGCAAGAATCAATGAAAAGAGGTTTAACATGGGGGGGNCCCCTGTTCTGAACTCTCCGTTGTTTTTATTATTTAAAAAAAAAAATGGGGGGAGGGGGGAAGGCCTTTAGAGTGCATCCACAAAAAATGCGACGATTCATGAATGAGCGCGGGCAATAATCCTCCTTTCGGTTACGTCACAATAAGGTGATGTCACCCATACATTATGTACTGGAGTGCTAATAATGCTAAACTAGTTATTGTGCCGTTATCTCTCCAGGGAAAGAGACGTATTGACTAGAGCAAGATATCTGCAGTCATGAAGTGACAGAAATCAAATTGTCTAAATATCACCGTACTTATGTATGTTGCTTGATTGTAAAGATAAATTTTGACACATTTCAAATGTAAACAAAAAAACTAACAAAACAAAACAAGAGATCCCAGATGGATGTTGGCGCCCACCTTTGTACCATCTTTATGAGTTCTCTGACAGTTCGGTCTGTTCTTTTCTTTTCTCTAATCTGTTTGATCGAGTCATGTTAACAGTAAATGCACATTGAGGTAACTTTTGATCTAAACTAAATACTGCTGTTTATTAAATACAACCTTCAAAGTGAGTTTGTCATTTCACATAGTACTAGTTACTAGTACAGTACTTAATGTGAAAGAAATAGAATCGATCATTTAAATATAAGAAAGATCTGTTAAGTTCTTCCTTCAGCAACTTTGTTTTTATGATCAGTCTCAAAATATAACATGCACAACGAGGGATCAAAGGGAACGTGCATATCAAATTTGAAACAGATCCCTCAAGATTTTCCTGAGAAAAAGTAAAAGTATTAACAAATCTTCAATTTCAAAAATCGAAGAAGGCTGTCGGTCGGCCATTTTGTTTATCTGATCAGTTTCAAAAGTAAACATGAACAATAAAGGATAGTGGGGAATCTGCATATATAATTTTGAGAAAGAACCCTCCAGCACTCCATGGAAAATAGAACTAACAAACCATAACAGTCAAAATCAAAGATTTGTTTATCCGATCAGTCTCATACGAAAATATGTATCACATCATACCAAGGGGAACCTACATGAAAAATCTAAGATCTCTCCAGTACTTCCTGAGTAATAGTCACTGTCAAAAACCAAGATGGCTGCCTGTCGGCCATTTTGTTTATCTGATCAGTCTCAAAAGTTAACCTGCACGCCGAGGGACCGAGGGAAACCTGCATATCAAATTTGAGAAAGATCCCTCCAGTCGTTTCTGAGAAATAGTGATAACAAACCTTTAATGTCACAAGATGGTGGCCTGTTGGCCATGTTGTTTATGTGATCATTCTCAAAATTAAACATGCACAGCTAAAGACCTAGAGAAGCCTACATAACAAATTTGGGAAAGATCCCTTTAAAGCTCCCTGAGAAATTGTGATAACAAACCTTTAATGTCACAATCCAAGATGATGGCCTGTCGGCCATTTTCTACATCCGATTAGTCTCAAAATTAAACATGCTCAACTACAAGGGGAACAAACATATATAATTTAAGATGGATCTCAAGTACTTCATGAGAAATAGCCATAACAAACCTTCACTGTCAAAATCCAAGATGGCTGCCATTTTTACATCCGATCAGTCCCAAAAGTTAACCCGCATAGCTAGGGACGAAGTGGAACCTACATATTAAATTTAAGAAAGATCACTCTAGTACTTCTTGAGAAATAGCCATAACAACCCTTCACTGTCAAAATCCAAGATGGCTGCCTCTCGGCCATGTTGTTTATTCGATCAGTGTCAAAAGTTGTCCTGCACAGCTAGAGACCAAGGGGAACCTACATATATAAATTTGAGAAAGACCCCTCTGGTACTTCCTGGGAAATAGTGATAACAAACCTTCAATATCAAAATCCAAGACGGCTGCCTGTCGGCCATGTTGTTTATCTGATAGAAACCTACATATCACGTTTAAGAAAGATCCCGTTAGTACCTTCTGAGAAATAGCGATAGCAAGAATTGTTTAAGGACGGATCACGGACCCCCGACCACTGACAGACGACGCACCACGGACGCAGGGCGATTTGAATGGCCCACCATCATGTGATGGGGGGCTAAAAAGTACAAAAATGTCTGCCGTGTTAAAACTCTTATTATTATGAAATATTGCTAATTCAAAAAGACAAGGGAGATAACTCTTAGATAATAATAATATGTAAGATAGTTTTTAACTTCAAAAAGAGTCATAGACTATTTTCGGATGTTTGACTCTTTTTGGGTAAAGTTTTAAGAAACCACTATATAGTGGTTAACAAACCACTATACTACTCGTCTTCTTTCTATGTTTACATTTGCGCTGCAACCTACTATGTAAACATTGCCAGCGGAAATGCATTGCATTTGAGTATGCAAGCAAAACTCTGTGACGTAACACGTGGTTTACATGTGACGTCATGGATTAACCTTGTTCAATGAGAGTCTTGTCGCTTCGCTTCATGATAATATGCAAACACTGCGTCAAACACTCAAATGACTAAGGTAATATTTGGCGCCATTTTGTTAAAAATAGGGCTGTTCCGTTTAAAAGGACGACGCATATACAAAACGCAGGTTATACATTAATTATTTAAAAACAAATAAATAAAACTAAACAATTGTTCTCTAGGAAAAAGGAAAATATATGGATTGAACGGTGTTCTTTTTTTTATTTTCATGCCGGTATGAACGCAACCCAGTTGCATTACTATTAAACATGAAGCTCTAGCGGGCTTTATGCAATATGGATGTAACCGATTTACGTTCATACCGGCATGAAAATAACAAAAACGCCGTTCAATCCATATACGAATTTATACTTTCATGCATCTTATTGAATTCTAGTCTTGTGGAATAACCCTTTGGTTTGATTTCTAGCACTGTACTAAAATAAATGCAAAATACCTAAAAATAATTTCATTAAAACAGCACAGCTGCTCGCGAGGAGTAGTTTCGCAAAATGCAACAAAACATGAATCACCGATTATTTTATGGGCCTGATTTCAGCTGCTCGATAAAGTAACATCTTAAATTCATTTAAATGTGAATCAAAAGAGCCCGTAGTTTTTAAGACTTCTCAGTTTTTTTCTTATTTCCTCAACACGTTTGAAGATTTTTGCAATTGACACCGTAAAAGTGTCTCACCTAACATTGTGCATCAGATAAGAGCTTCGTGTTAGGGAAGCGTTAAGCATTGGATGCAAACGTTTAACTGACATTAAAACGTTAATCAAAGACCGTTAAAGGATTATATGCTAATCGACACTATAATCGTTACCAAGTGCAGATAAAATTTACACTTAAAAGACATGTAGTCGGCGTCACTGTACAATTAAAGGAACTCAATACAATGACAGCTAGAGACGTTCACCTCGATGAAATACGGACACAGTTGCTAAACAGAACACGTCTACAGTCAACTGTTATAGGACAATAATCCGCGTCAGCGTATCTCCATGTTCATACTTCGTATATAGAACTAAATACATTGATTTTGGAAATGTAATAGTTCATGCTCGCTCATAATGCAGTTAATATAAACGTATTTTTATATTTGATTTTCCATCACTTTTCAATGGTTTGAATGTGAAAATGTTTTATTTATTAAAACTCTGTGCTTGTCAGACATTTAATGACCTGACATTTGGCTGCTGTTAATTTTGATTGTAGTTTTGTAAATTATACATTCGCAGATAACAGCCTTTCTATCATTGAAATCCACAATAAAATAACATATTTCAACATAGCAAAATTCGATTAATATCAACGCGAATTTCGATAATTGAAAAATTCCATTATGTTATTAATTTAGTTTTGGCAAACGTAAATAGCACATAACTGACTTCTAATTCAGAATTTACAAGTCTACGTAAGATAAATAAATGAATCAATCTAAGGTGCCTCACGTAACAACACAAAAACACTTTTTAGTCATAGCTTTTTATTTAATTAACACATTTATTTAAATTAAGTTTTAATTGTAACGTATCTGTACCTGCACGCGCACTCGTTCCACCTAGAGTAATGACCGCCTTCACGTACTATGGGCCAGTACTAGCTAATGCACGGTGTAAACACATTCGGTTGTGGCCCAGTGAGGGGGTCATTTCAGTGTTAAACAATTGGTGCCACCATCCATCTTCTTGTCGAATTTGTCGATATTTTATTGAAGAAGACACATTACGTACAAACCATGCAACTTAATTTGACGTCTTTATTCTTATTTGATGTAGATTCCAACAGGCTGACATTTTCTAATCAGTTTCACCAAAATGCTTCATCATTCTGTTTGTGTAGACAGATTTCGGGGTCTCATTAACGTTTTATTGACCATCCCAAGCTCCGGGTCCTTTATGTTTACCGTACATTTTTTCCGGACGTGTTTGAAATCTCTTTACCCCTATTATACCACTATTTGTCAGGTTTATGGCTGGCGAGTGACTGGCCAATTAATGGGTACTGGTATTGAATCAATCTTATCACGGATTTTGCACACTTCACCAATAAAGGACGATCCGCACTTGAAGGAAGCTGACAATACGATTGGATGATAAAATATGTGATCTGTCAATAAAATCACTCGGAATACGTTAGTGCAGTCCTGTTATCAGTCTCGCAGATAAACCCCACTGACACCTACGTAATGTTGAGAACACTTCAAATAAAATTAGACGTAAATTAATTATAAACTGGACAGTGCTTAGCGTGTCCCGAGGACAACAGCGTTGGGCACAACTGTCTCTTCTCATTGCACGCTAGCCTGATCGAGATGAGATTACGTTATAAGGACTTACATTAGATTCAAATCAGCAATGTTCCTTACAAAGGAATCAAAGGGGTATCCAGAGGAAGTCTTATCAGGTCGTGGTACTACTTGAAGGGAAGCCTAACATGCCGACGTTATGGATGAAAAGAGAATTAGGAAAAAAATCATGATATTACAATTGTCCTTCAGATTTTATTTAAGTAATTTAAAATTAATTTTGTCTCTTTTCTGTACCTTTGATTCTAATAGGATTAGTTCAAATAACACTTATGCAAACCTTCAGTGAAACGTCTCTAACACCCTGTCTTAGAAATATAATGGTCAAAATAGTTATAGGATATTTGAATGCATAAGTATTCTTTGACTACATGTTCTGGGATGAACGGAACATTCACACATACACTTTTAAAGTTTGGTAATATACACAATTAGCCAGAAATAAATTACACTGTATCATACAGCTGTACCATTCTTTTATGACTCATGGGTTAGCCTGAGGCCAAAACGTTCGAAATCCAAATTGTTTTAACTCATGTTGAGTTAGAGGGCAGGTGCGTAAGCCTGAAATGTGCAATCAGATGAAAGGGGAACGATAAAAAAAAAATTTCATTCTTCCGATGATATAAAGTAAGTCTGTTCTTCTAGAACGATTGTGGCTTTTTAGTTCGAATGCACTGATTAATGTTGTGTGTCTCTTACTATTCGCAGAAGTCATAGAAACATCCGAAACTATTTGGTTTTGTCATACTACCTTATCACTTTGGAAATATATTCTACTAAACAACCTGACTTTGCTTTGATATCAACATTAATCGATGGTATTGTTGGTCATGGTTAAAACAACATGGCCGAGTATTGTAGCAGGCAACTAATGTGACACCCCTGCAGAATTGAGGATTTTCTACTGTGCCCTCTACCTGGGGACACATAAACGACCAAAAAATAACCGCTGCACATATTACAAAATGTATGGTCTTTAATTTTCATCTGTACTTCCTAACAATTACTTTTCTTTCCTAGCTTCTTTCTTGATAGTAACTCAGTTTGTGCGCTTAGCATTGAACGTAAGTAAGAAAGGCCCAAGGCAGTCCTTAGAAATTGAACATGTTATTTTCTGGTAAAATTCAGCATCAATGGTTATCACAATAACGGGTTATTCCGTAGTCGCTATAATGTGCCTAGGTGGGATATTATATTTGGTACTTTCGACATAGTAGTGCAGGTAAGAAAACTTTAAATTCGACATCAGATTCACGCTATCGAAAATATAAGCGAATATACCAACATTACGCTTCTAGCACACGTATACGCATATACATTACACACGTGGAGACACATCCTTAAATTACATTAGCTGTTAATAGGGCGTTAAACCCAAACAAACCTTTAACTCTGTGATAAAAATAACCGCATGCTGCCCTTACGCTGAATAATCAATTACATTCAAGAGTTTACCCTTCTACCTTCCACCTTCCTTTTAGTGTGTTCGATTATTCTATGTGACCACGGTGGCCAAATGGTAAAGGCGTCTGACATTCTGCTACCTCTAGCCCTCAACCACTGGGTCGCGGGTTCGAGACCTGTGTGTGGCAGTCGCCAGGTACTGGCCGTAGGTCAGTGGTTTTTCTCTGGGAGCTCCGGCTTTCCTCCACCACCAGAACCTGGCGTGTCCTTAAATGACCATCGCCGTTGACGTAAAACACAAACAAACCAAAATCATTCTTCTAATTCTCACATAGCCTGTTGTCATGGACAACTGACCGGTAATTGATTCTAACGTGGACGTCTTACAATAGGACCACATTGAGAGAATCTAAACATTGCCAGGGCATGGGATATTTCTCCGATACTTTTTCATCAAACTTTAGCTCGCATCCATCTAAGGTGATGCATTGGCCTTTTATCAACTCATTCACAATAGATACGTGCAATTAGATATCTTAAAAGCACAAATCAAATTAATTAATGGTTATTAGCAAACAATCAGTAATCCATCTTACCTCATTGCTAGACAAAATACGCAAAAACAAAGCCAGTGATTTTCAAATTCGACATTTTGAGTAAATAACAACTCAGACTAAGACGCCTACCGACTTCCTGACGATTACCTTTTCATACTTTGGCGTGGACTGGCACAACAGGTATATAGAATATATGTTACTGAAGACGGACTGTAGACTTGGCTGATCATGAATGCAAACTTATTTGGAACATCATGTGTATATTGATTGTGATGGTCTAGTAATGGTGATAATTATGTTAACATAATAAGTGACAGCTAGTTGATATGTCAATAAATTTAATATATATATTTCTATTTTCTTTTTTTTCTTTTTGCTAATTATCACGTTTGTATGCTATTTATTGCATAAAAAATTGTATTATTAAAATATATAATAAAAATGGCTTTAAAAAACCCAGTAAAAAGCTGAAATTATGGATTGCATTATTTTCCGTCCTGACTATAATTTTTAGATATCATTTCCGAAAGGCAGACCATAATTTTCGTAACTTTTGAAAACAGTAAATATAGATCAAACAACACGAATCAACCATAGTGTGTAGAGAGGGACACTGGGACAAGATCTGGGCCTGCATTCATGAAACCGATTTCATGTTCAAGCATGGATTCTGTGCTCAAACGAACTTTCTTGCAACTCGCCTAAATCATGCGACACAACCAAAAGCGTAAAACGATATTCGGCTTTTAGTCTCTCCGCCTCTTCAAAATTCGTCCAAATCATTGAGGTAATTGGATTTAAAGTATTTTATCACCGGAACAAGAAATTAGGCTTGAGCAAAGAGTCTGAGCTTGAGCATTAGACCGGTTTCACGAATGTGGGCCAATCGAGTCCCTGGACTCCCGACTATTATACTGTACATTGGCCCAGTCGACATTAACGAGATTACTATGTATACGGAAGACTACTAGTGTTGTGCCTGTAGTGGGCATGGACCCTTTACTGTTTAAACCGTTTATGAATGTATTGATTTAATGTTACAGGTGCAGCAATCGACTACATGGTAAGTAACACTGTTACATTGTTAATCTTCCAGAATCTTATTTTTACGATTGTTCTTCAGACGAGTATTTTAATTTTAAAGGAAAAGTATACACATTTTGTCAGTCACGCGACACAGACTATGGATAGAGCGAAGCGACGACAACGTAGCATTCCTCTGGGAATTATCAGAGTGTTACATTCTTCTGATCAGGAAAACCGTCCGTTTGTTATTTTTTATAGAATGTTTGCCTATTGAATATCTCTTGAACTTTAATTGATTACAACTGACTTCGGTAATAATATATAATGACATTGCAAAATAAATGTAATATTGTAGTAATGTTGGCGAAATACCAGGATACTTACAGAACAGTTTTACATAATCGGATAGTCGGGAAAGTCTAGAAGGTAGACAGTTGTTTGAACTGTAATTTGAGACTTAGTAATACTGTATTGAAATATTGCGAGTGATTCATTATACGATAAATTCAGGTTAAGCTCCGATAAAATCACGTTAAACACCAATCGCTGATTCAATTATCACAGAAACAATTATTTTATGCTTTATATAGACCATACACATGCAATTTTGACTTTCAATTATACTTCATCTTCAAATATTCTCAAAAGCCTAACAGGGCTTCAAAAAGGAGGCGTATGCTATGAAAATAATCACACACAAACACACAGGCTGATTTTATTGATTATGTCATTTAAACATCGGTCGAATTTTATTGAATATCAGTTTAAATTTTGGTACTTTATATCACATTTGTACCTCAAAATATTTCTCCGCACAGACATTACATATACATGTATAAGAAACGCCTTCCCGTTTATAGAGTATGCACCAAAAGGAAGACTTAATACATCTTGGACGTTTCTACAGAGAGGTGGCTTGTCGTTCAAAACCCGCGAGATGGCACATGTTATTAATATACTTATATTCCATAAATATATGAAAAGGTGTCTATTTATAGGTGGAGGTAACACTAGGAGACGTTGATATGTAACATAGCATACGGGTCACCATTAACTTGTATTTACATTTCCATCGCTAGTGTCTCTATAAGTACTACCAGAGGAAACTGCGTCCATAGGGTAATAAACGCAATGTGATCGGCGTCGATTTGATGCTACTCCTCCCACCTTGTATAAGACAGCCGGTTAAGGTTAACATTTCAATATCGAAAATATAAGGGAATGCCGTTATTTAAATCAATAAAAACTACAATATTTAGAATGGAAAAATATGTATCGAACAGCATTTCACAATGTTCATGCGGGCATGGACATTAAAAATATACCGTTCGACACCTTTAAACTACTACTAGTAACATAGTATATGATATTCAAATGTATGTACAGTTCTGACTTAGACGAGCATTGGGAATATATTGCTTCTCAGAGCAGGTGTAATAACGAGAAATATTACGCAAGGAATCACATTTTTAGAGATTTAGCTTATCGGTTATTGACACCGAAAGCCAAACAACGAAATTATTTTCCATATATTTATTTCGTCTATTGAGGCTCCGTCAGCGGTACTCACATCAAAATAATGAAAATCCATGTCTAAAGTGTTCGGACCATATTTAGAAATACAGCTTAACGAGAAAGGTGTCTAACAAGGGGATAGTAAGAGTAGAACTAAGCGATGGTTTATATGTGGTAATTTTTTTTCGCGCTTATATATGTTCTTTATTGTTGCATTATTATTAATGATTGCGACTATTTTTTCCTAAATGAAACAAGAAGGTCTTGTAAGTGGTAAGGAATGGTAAAGTCTTTGCGTATGCCTAATCTTCGTTGAAAGGGTCTACTTTTTCGAGATTTAAGGCCTCGTGGTCACTATACAACACGCTAAGGTCAGGATTGATTAGTGAGCCAAGTTTTTCGAATGCTGTATTTTTCGATGAAAACTATTTTTCCTAGGCAATTGCGAAAATAGGGATCCCACAGGAAAACAAACTTCATGTTAACTTGTTTTAGAATCAATCATTATATTACATAATCAAACACCGTTTTAAACACTGAGTATATTGACACAGAAAGCTATACAAAGTAAATAGTATTATCATGACTGAAAATCCATGCATTTCGTCGGTCAGCACATTGGGTTAATGACTCATTGCTCAACTTTGTATAAATAATTCAAAAGGTTGGGCAAATCCACAATGAAACTACGTTTTTGACCAACGATTACTATGAATAAATAACGCTTACAACAAAAGTTTGATTCGTGTTTATTGTGATGTCTTTCAAAACCATGATTTACAAATGTCCACATTATCAAATACATACAATTAGGAATATGGCGATATTACAAGCTTTGTCTTGTTAACTCACTAACACGAGATTTAGAGATACTAATGTTTTGTTACTTACTCGATATTTCTAGTTATTAGGTTGCAATTTCGATAAGTAACACGAAAAAGAATTGTTTACGTGGTCCTAATGCTATTTTGTAAAAAAAAAAAAAAGGTTACCATTAAAGATATTAAAATATCATCCTCGATATCCAGGGGCAACGCTCACTTTCGCTCTCTGCACCCCTGGTATATGACATGGCAAAATTGAAGACATACGGCTAGCAATTTGGTTGGTGTCAGGTAAAAAACACTGACCAAAAACTAAGCTGATACTTGTCCTTTGACGATGACAGAGGAGCGACGCCCGACTTCAAAGCTAATAAGTTTTACCGTTAGGCGACAGCAAGATTCTTTTATTGTACATCAAAGGATCAAACTAGTCTTATCGTCTCACACACATGGTTGTGCACACTGAGCCTTCGATTTTGCTATGACATATTCCAGGGTTCAGAAAGCGAAAGTGAGCGTAACCCCTTGATATCGAGGATGTTAAAATATATGATAATTTGCCAACATTCTTGATCATGTGATAAAAGGGTGTTGAATTCATTTCTATTGCATATCAGTTTTATTAATCACGGCAATACTTTTGTATTGTAGAGAACCTTTGGCATGCATACATTTCTTCTATCTTATATCTAATCAAGTTTGCATCCGGGAATTATAAATGCACAGCATTAAAATGAGAGTCCGACCGAGCTGCTGCAATGCCTATGGGAAACACAAGGAAGCAACTGTCAACAAGAAAGACTCCTTCCGTTTGCTTAATCTTCTATATATGGGAGAATATTAAAAGCCAAATTTATCTTTTAGTGGATCTCTTCAGCTTTAAAACTCGTGCAATGGAACCCTTTCTCTTCATTTAAAGTCGACTGTGACTAATACAATCATGCTTAACTTTCCACTGAAACATTTTGAGACCTTATATCTGTATTGTCAAAATCCTTTGTATTTGGTAGCACTGGCAGATCCCACTGAGCCGAAGGTTCCGAGCCCTGAAACTGTGGTTTGTCATCAGGTCTTTTGGTGTGGAGGGTCTGCAAGCCCACGTCAGAAAGGTAAATCATGGGTAATAGCCACAAGGGAGTTCACTCTTACAACCTCAACTATGTAACATGTAGCACGTTTACCACAGAAAACCGAAATTTAAATGTCAGACATATTCCGGGGGTGCAGAGAGCGATAGTGAGCGTATCCCTTGGATATCGACAATGTGATCAGTGATCATATGGCTTGTAAAGTCTAGAAATATTACGCAGATTTGCAGACAAACAAATCGTAATACGTGCGTTTGCATGCAAAGCTGTGTCATTCATAGTGTTAGACTTATAAATGCCATATCAACACACTGCTCAATGCATAAATAAATACGGGTGATTTTGTTTGTGTTTGTGTAAATAACATCCATCCCATATGGATAAGGAAAGACAACTCCTGGTTTAACATCAAAGATTTACTTTATACATAAACAATGTACGTAATAAACGTGTTTGTGTATAATTTAAAACTTTGATGTTACATAATAGTTTAAACTTGATTTCATTATCGGTATAATATACCAGATATACAAACATGATATACATATAGGATTCAAGAACAAGTACAAAGTACTTATGTTAATCCGTCTACTTCTTTTGTGAAACGGCGATTGGACGGCTATAATACATAAAAAATATAGATAAGATATAGTATATAGTATATATTTATAAATATAAGATATGTTGTATATTATAATATGGAAGAGAAGAGGACATAGAGGAAGGAGAGAAAGAGGTGCAAAAGGGTTTTAAGAAAAGGTTGTTGGGAAAAGTATATACCGGAGTAAATTGAATGCATTATGGGAAAGAAACTGGCTGAAGTATATTTTGTAAATGAACACATGTCGATGAAGGTCAATAAGGTCTTCATCGCATAATGAATTGATTGCATATCATGAAAACTCCCCATGCCGACCCCTGAGTATTCCAACATCCAGTGGTGTACAGCAACCAGCTGTAATTTTAAATATTAAAAGTAACATCAAACAAGATTATGACAATTTGTATATGTTTATCCATACTGACGTGTCGTGACATACAGGGGCCGTACCAGTAAAATATCACTATGTACTGCATATAAGCATAGGTAAAATCAAAATTTAGATATTTAAACTTAAAATCGTTCCGACTGGTTGATGGAATATTAAACACAGTCGAAGATGTTCTCATTATATTTAACTTGCATATCAGGATTACTGTACAGTAGACGGTTTACGTTATAGTCGAGAGGAAGGCTTCTGAAGCATTGTACTCTTAGTTGATAGTATTTTGGACAGAAGAAGAGGAAGTGTTCGGTTGTTTCAGCAGATTGATTACAAGTACACATGGAACTATCAACTAGATTTCGTCTAAATAAATGGCTAAAGAGAGAACTACTGTTCATCCTTAATCGTGTATTATGGATTTGGCCGAATCTACTTCTGCAGTGGTAATGATAAGGTGGAACAAGATGGCTTTCAGCATTCAAAATATATTTGAGATTAGTAATCGACGGGTTAGGCTTTACATTATCGGGAAGTACATTTCATAGGTCAATAGAGGAGGGTAAGAAGGAATCCTTGTGAAGTTTGGTTCTACAGTTGATTTGACAATAATTCTTTGCGTTTCTAGTAATGTGAGAGTGTAAGTAAGAATGACGAGCAGGAGGTATGTTAGTTTAATAGGATGGGCACTGACAATCTTATGGAATTGTATGATTTTATGTTTTCTTCTTCAAACAGAAAGAGGATCTGAGCCTTATTCTAAATAGATTCGGTCATGACTAGTTAGTTTAGTGGTCCCAGTTACAGTTCTGGCTGCTTTAAGCTGTATATTTTCTAATAATTGACTTTGTTCAGTCGTTATGTTGTCCTATTTTACATCATCATATTCTTCAAGTGGTCGTTGAAAAGTAAAATACATTTGTTGTGAAGTCATTCTGTCAGTACTGAATTTGAATTTCCTAAGAATACCAAGTTTCTCGGATGCTTTGCTAATTATAAATAGCACATGGTCGGTCCACCCTCCGCTAGCCGAAATAAAGACGCATAGATGTTTGTGGCATGGGACTTCTGTTAAAGGGATATTATTTATACATAAGGAGTGATGAATTGGCTTATTATTTTTCTTACTTACAATCATTGTCACTGTTTTATTAGGGTTAAAGTTAACAAGTCACTTTTTAGACCAATCATGGATTCTTTTAGATTGTCGTTTACAAGGATTGCACTAAGATCCGGCAAGTCCATTACAACGTAGAGGGAGGTGTCATCGGCAAATAATTTAATAATACAATTGATATCATCGACAATGTCGTTAATGAAAACTAAAAAAAAAATGGGCCTAAAATTGACCCCTGGGGAACCCCTGCTGTTACATATTCCAAACTATGGAATACATTTTGAACCCCTGGCTCATTTTATTTCTAATTTCAGGGTGTGCTTCTGGCGGAGAAGTTTGAGAAGATGGTCCGATTAGATGAGCGGTTCGAGATTCCAGCTGCTCGACATCTTGGGATGGTTGTATTTTGTTTAAAGGTTTGTAACCTTATCTTTGAAAAAATAAATCGCCTTGTATATAAACTCAAAGTAATGTTTCTCCTATCAAACTTGTATAGATCTAAGTCAGATTGTCCGAATTCACAAAGTCGGCGAATATATATATATTTTATTAATGTTATTATTATACTCACTGTTTTGGAGTTTTTGGAGCACGAGACCAATTATTGACCATTCACTGTCCGTGTGACGAACATGCAAATCGAATGCAAAGTCAGTATGAAGGTATTGACAAAAAAAGCATAAATGTTATCGTGAATAACAAATCCTGTACATTACTGTAACCACGATCGCGAAAATAAATATCCATGAGGATTTTCAGTGATTACTATTTTCGTTTAATTAGTTTTTCTTCTCATTCCAATACAATTTAATTAGACGATTTTGAGCACAGACTTTGTGAACAACCAAGAGGATGGAACATCCTTACACCTTAAAAATACATCTAAAAAAACGGATTTTCTCTCAAAGTTGACGGGTGGGCTTTTGTTAGAGCATGGACTTGTATCAAATCCATTACCGCTATAATAGAAAATAACATAAAAATAGCATTACAAATATCTCTCTGTGAGATGAATACAGCAAGGTTGTAAGATTTTCCAATCTATTTGTATATCAATGGTCTGCTGTTGACGTTCTATGTGTTACTTCTGAAAGAATAATGTAGTATTGTATTTCACCATAACAGATCATTCAATTCTAATTGATGTTTTTGTATATTTCAGGAGGACAATGATCGTACAGAAATTCTTCTAAAACGGTTAAACAAAAGTGGCAAAATACACATGGTACCGGCTGCACTGAAGTCGAAATACGTCATCAGATTCACAGTGACGTCACAGTATACGACCGACGTGGATATCGAACGGGACTGGAAAATTATTCAGGACATGGCGACAAAAGTGCTTCGGAACGAGGAATCAGATGAAGACGACGTATTTGAGGAAACACAACCTATCCCCGTCGTCATTGAACCAGAAGTACTGAAACGAGTACCATCCTTGAAGAAAAAAGACTATGGAATGAGTCTGTTGCTAAGCAACGTTCCGTCGTCGCCAAAGCTCATCAATGGCAGTTTTGCCGCGCTGTTTGACAACAATGACGTCATTGTAGAATTTGCTAAAGAAATCACCAACAGTGATTTTAACGGTCGACCTATTCGTCTGTCACCAAGACGACGAATGAAACTCCGGGACCAAAACAGACAGAGAAGTCTTGACTGTGATGTTACTCCTCATCGATCTATTATAAGTCGATTTAAGCAGGCCTCGCTTGATTCGAAAGTCGACGAGATTCTCGAATGGTCAACTCTCCAGGAACAGACCGGAGGTCTGTTGCATGAAATTGAGGATGGAAGTGAGAGCGGAGCAGATTCGGAATTGGACGCGGGGTCAGGGGTCAAAATGAAAGTTTCAATCAATGTAACCAAATCGTCTGAAACTGACGATGAACCGGAAAAAGACAAAGGTGAACTACCGAACGGGAACGGATTCCATCCTACCAATGAATCCGTAAATGGACATATAATCTGCAAACATTGCGGTCACGTGATTAACGGATAACCACGTGTTAAGTATGCGCAACTGACATTTGTGAAGTAGAAAAGGAAAGTAAGGAACAATTACTGTGCAATATATATCAAATGCATAGATTGAAGTAGTATATGTTATCTGAGTGATGACGTAGGATGTTTTAATAATATTTCCTGCTTAAACTGTGTGCATTACTGTGAAAACTCGTCCATAACATTTTCTCTTTTAGAGTTTATAAAACATCGTTGCATGGGTGCATGCCAAACATTTATCCCATTGTGTTGTATCTAAGATAGAATAGACCAAAAATACCAAGCGCCATTTTACATGAATAGCGAGCATAGACAACCTACATTGCACCAAAATAACGTTGCAATGTTTCTGCAACAACGCTATAACATTTCTTGTCATTGCTAATGTGTAGGACCTTGGGGTTTGGCTTGTAACAATAACGTGACTTTGTATATCGTTGTCATGGAAACACACTCCTGGAAATCCTTACTATCATTGATATAAATTATTGTCATGGAAACACACTCATAGAAATCCTTACTACCATAGATATTAAGGAAATAATGTCGAGCTTGTCGACCAGTGTCGTCTTTGTGTAGAGATCATGCGGATATTCTGTCTCCGAATCTGATATAAAGTGTAATGCACGTGTTCAGTCAAGTGTTCAGTCACGTGGTCTTGTTGTTTGACAATACGTAGGGACTCTGTATCGCGGCAGTAATACTATTGATATCAAACAGTTGTCTGCAGTTATCGAATGGATTAATATTTGGATTTGGGTAATCATTTTATGTAAACAATATATCATAATTATATATATATATTCCAGTAAAAATATATTTGAATTAGAATGTATGATTTCACCAATAGGTTTGTCAAGTGAACAAATAAATATTCCTTGATTGGAAAGAAATCAATCTCATATCGTTATGATTTATAAAGATAGGGTTGTGTCATTAAACATTAATTAGAGTTTCACATAGAGTCACGTCAGATTAAGTATGATCAAATAGTGTTTATTCATGTATTTGTAAAATTGGACGCGGAGAACATCAATACATCCGTAAGGCACGTGACATAGATTGGCGGAATATTTTGGGAAGGCTAAAGCAGAACTGCAGATTCTAGAAATATTTCTCAGCTTTTCAAATGCATTCCTTACCTATATTTACATTTGCATGGCATTGTCACTTTATAGCCTCTTTGAAAGCTGTGTCGTTGATGGGGCTTTAATTACCATGCATCACGAGACACAATTCTTAGCGTATTAATACAACACTGGCCGGAACTACAATACCCAATATAAATAAACATGACGGCTCCTGAAATATCGCTGGGCATTGTGAGATTTGACAATGCCATTGTAAATTTATGTGCAAAATAAAAAATAAAATAAAAAAACCTTTTATTACAACGAAAACAAGACCAGTGTCTGCAATATCGTACAAAATGCACATCGGTTGAAATCACCAATGCCGGCAATGGAAACAATTTTAATCCTCATGCAATTTATCAGAAATATCGTCTGTTACACTGCACTGATCAACAGGGGTTCGTTACAAATGTCTGAAATACACATATTATATAGACCTACTGACACATATGTTACAGACCTACTGATATGAGTCACAGCAAACATAAACATTTCAGACATTTGTAACGAACCTGTGCTCCGTCGCAAGATCACTCACTTCAAACGCTATCTTTCACGCGTCTCGCATCCACCATTCCTCATTTTCTGACGACATGTCAAATAACGAGGCTGTTATAGAATCTACCGACTGTTGTCAGGTTCCCATACAATTAACAAATACATTCACGCCTGGATTCTTCACAAAATGAACAAAGAGAAAAGTTCGAATTAACTTCCAAAAATAACTCCCTCGTGGAGGGCAAGGTCGGATTTACGGTGTTCATTGTATTTGTCCAAGCGCGAAATTTGTTCGAGGGAAAAATCGAAACAATTTGAAATATTACTTTCAGCTCTGAGTTCTATTGCTAAACTTAAATCATCCTATAGACATATCATACGCAATTGTATTGATACTGAATTGTGGAATAAAATTGAAGTGTTTGTTAAAATTTCAAAGTACTACTTTGTTTGCAAATCAGCACGCGATAATACGCTGTTCAAACTATTGTGTGGACTGTCGATAAAGCGGGCATTTTTAATTTTAAATATAAATTATAAGTTAAAAAAGAACATAAGAGGCAAAGAAAACGTAAAGATAAGTATTGAACTGTTTTTGTATGGTATTTATGATCTATTTGAATGACACAGCTTTGCAAGCAAACAAAGCATAATGAGCTAGCACGCATTATGTTGTTTGCTTGCAAGGCTGTGCCATTCAAATAGATCATAAATACCATACAAAAACAATTCAATGCTTAAATAGATCCACGTACCACTGCCAAAAACTGTAATTACGATTTGAATCAGAAACACTTTTCCAACATAGCTAAACTTTTGCTGAAATATTCCTGAAAAGAAAACAAATCGTTACGGATTTTTTATGAACAAATTTAAGGGTGCAATAAAATATAATCATTAATAATGTTCTTATCTTCTAGTCAAAACGAATTTGAAGGCACGCGGCTAGCTATTTGATAGGTATCGGGTGAAAAAAAACACCCTGACTGATGGCTAGGCTGAAACATGTCCTTAGTAAGATTTCAGAGGAGCGACAACCGATTTCAAAGCCAGTCGATCTCACCGTTACACGACCGACATATTCTTTTGATGTACATCAAAGGAACAAAGTAGACTTTTCGTCTCATCAGGTGGTAGATACTGGAAAACGAACAATGTAGTAAGGGAGTAGTAATGAGGTCGTTTGTATTCTAAATAACTTTTCTTTAGATTGTTTGCCATAAAGAGACAAAGCAACCCGGAGTTACTTACTTGAGCTCATGTTACATAACACACTGAAAAACACACGTGAACTTATTCTTTTATTACTACGCATTGTGGCCGCGACAATCGGTGACCATACCCTATCGTGGAGTAGGCACTCTCTGCAAGATCTCTCTTAAATTTAACAAATGTTCTTTTTAACACACTTTTTGTTCACGACAGCAAATCTACCAAGTGCTGTACCCAGGCCTTAATAGGCCCCTCCGGCCGAGGCCTTCCCTGGCCTCTATCCCTCAGAGGCTCACATTTTCGAACCTCGAATCCTGACTCTTCATTCTAGACTCCTTAGACTTCCCCATGCATGTCCGTTTTATCAAAACTATATATCTGATTAAGTATTCGTGATCCCGTACCACCTATTGTACATTTATAAATAGACCCGTGCGATAATTTGATTTATTATACCTTCTGTTAAAATCTCGTTATCTGATTGGCTGAGAAAGATGTGAACATTTTCAATGTTACTTGCTCGTTTTACAAAGATTAAGAAGACAGGGTGACATTCCAAAAAATATCACATGCGCCAAACGTATGCGTTCGTCCCAGTGCCAGGGTGTTATAAAACCACAATCATGGTTGGTTCATTGGACAACTGTTGAGATGAAGTCTTGGTTTATGTCAAATCAACACAAGGCCCTTTAAAAATGGTGAAGTGGTGAAACACCTAAACATGACAGTCGGTATAATAAAATAAAAATCACATTCATGAGAGGGGGATATTGCATATTTTAACCCCTCGGAAAGCAATGCTTCCTTCGGGTGAAAATATGCAATATCGCCCTCTCATGAATGTGATATTTATATAATAACGTCTAATTTTACTTTCCCTTACCGAAACAAAAATATTAGATGCACCATATGACAATGACAGTTACCCCTGTCTGTTTTGGAGAGTTCACACTCTCATCCCTATCTCTATGTCATCCATGACTGACCTGGTCGCCACTAGATGGGTAGACATATAGCACTATCCTCAATCCAATAGTCCTCCGTCAATCAGTGTTACATGTAACCAAATAATAAGATTTGACCTCAACCGTACATTTGACCAAAGTGCTGCTCTCTATTGATTCAAACTGTCTTACATGTTATAAGATGTTTCTTATCATTCTCATTAAGTACCTAATTATAGCTCATTTTAATTACATACCTTTACCGCCAAGAATATTAATTAATATTCATAAAACAAAATGCCATATAATAACTAGGTCCAATCATACATGTAGGTATATGTATATATAACACAATTTGATACGTGTCAATTAAACGTCCCAGTGTCCTATACGTAAGTTACACATACACTGTTTCATTAGCCAGTCACTTATATTCCACAGTAAGCAAAGTATAGGTATTTCCAATAACGGTGTAAAATCACTTGAAACACTGTATCCCTAGTAATTCATTGATGAACAGTTACTTGTCCATGTATAAGTGTACTGAGTACACCACACAGCAATACAACACCATTCAAACTAACAGTCTGTGTATTGCATAGTTCACAACACAGTAATACTACATAGTTCACAACAAAGTAA